AATGCCATCAATCAATCTTAAGAATCAAATAATTTTTTAAAAATGCAATTTCAAATGTGTTGGAATTTAATATACACCAAGAAAGAAAGCAATTTCAATAACTAAAATTAATTAATGTAGCAATTTATTTAAAATAAGTTTTAAAACTAGAAAAAAAAATAATAATAAAAGCATCAATAATTTAAAAACACTGTTTTTTAACTTTCAAAATCAATGATTTTTAAAAAAAAAAAATCATTTGATTTAAATCATGTAATAAATCAAGCTGATTTAAATCAACAAACCCTGATAACTAGAAGAAGATGCCATGGTTGAGAAAAGATGCCATGAAAAACATTACAAAACCTTAAGAGCGGCTAACTTTTGAACTTTGAAACATACAATGCTGTAAATGTATTAGAGTTCAGAATACAAACTAAGCAAAATAAAACAGGAAGGACCAGGGTAGTTAATTTAAGGAATAACTGATAATTTTATTGCAAGATAGTGACTCACGAAAAAGTAAAGTCTTATTACAAATTTTAAAATTCTAAGTCTATAAAATTACCTAAGATGGCGTTTGTAACAGCAGAGAGGCTTTCAAAACACTGTTTCCTCATCGCCAATTCCAAGATGGTGTTGAAGTAAAAGAACATAAATAGCCTTTACAGATGGTTTCAAAATAACATATCTGAAAGAAAAAAAAGATATATATATATATATATATAATGTTTTAATAACCATTACAAAATGTACCCATCAATTAAGACCACACAAGTAAAACGGGCATAGGATTGCTGAAGAAAGGAATTATCTACATTTTTCATTTTTTATATTATTTCTTATTTCAGTCACTTTATTCTCTAAAAGAGTTCTTGCATTAGTTCTTTACTTTGTATATGAGAAGCTTCCAAAGCAATGGCCTGTGCATAAATATATTAAACATTGCAATATCAGATTGTATGTTAACGAATCCAATTATCAAGAATTCTATGTATAATAGTGTGCAGAGAAATACCCATACCATTAAGTTACTATTTTATCCGACAATAACACTGCAATAAATTCAAAAAAGCATTATAACATTAATTGAAATGATAGATATAACCAAAGCTGTTATACTACTCCTTGAGGCAGAATTTGTTCGAGCTATCTGCGACAAAACTCTCTAGCACAAATATCTTTCTGCAAGATACTTTTCACAATAATAAACATGTATGTTACTAATTTAAAATAACAAAAGCTCTGTGTTTACCAAAAAAAAAAAAATATATATATATATAACTTTTTTTAAATTGAACGTGTAATTTGTATAATAACATTATATGTAAAATTTTTGCACTTTGTTGGGAGGCAGGGGGACACAGAAATTATTTCCTTCGCCTTTTGTAACTAATCATCACAATGAAAAAAATTGCAAATTATTNAAAAATTGCAAATTATTAAATCCGCAGTAGTACTCGGCGAAAAAAAAAGATTGACAACAAATTCACACGAATTGGTCACCTCAAATGAGTGTTTCGTTTCTTGATTAGGCTGTTGTATAAAAATATCGTATAATAAATATCAGATTTAAAAACTATGGAGAAATCAATAGCAATAACTGATAAAATTCGACAGAATTATTGACCTAAAAAGTAAATATCCAAATACAAGATTCAAATTTTTCAGGTTGCTTATCGGGATATTTAAAATCCACTTGAAAATCAACATCAATAACTGACGAAAATACAACAGAAAAAAACCCATGAATTTATGCTACTATTGGCGTATATTGAACACGCCAAAAAGTTATTATTCAAATGCATGATTGAAATATAACTGGTAAATTTCTGTCAAAAAATAAATAAAGGTAATTTTTTTTTTCAAAAGAAAAATCTTTCTGCAAGAACTTTGTAATGTTCAGCGAAAATGTTGCTGTGTCTCTACAAATCTGCTACGGGGCTCTAAATCTTCTCATTTATTGATATTAAACTTAAAAAATTGAGTAAAGAAAGAGTTAAGCATTTAAATAGCTGAATAAAAATACAAAAGTAAATAACTTTTATATAGCTTTTTAAGGCTGCTTTTTTTCTTCTTGAAAGTAAGTGTAACATAAAAAGCCTAAACAAGAATTTTAAATTGATTAAAATAAAAAAAAAATTAAACAAATAAAATAATTAATAAGATTCTGAAATCACTGAAGTTTAAAAGATTATTCGCTCTAGAAAGGATGTTCTTTCCTTAAGTATTTTAAAGAACACAATTGAAACATTTTATATTTTAATAAAATACGATTAAGACTGGATATTTTGTTACAAATTCAGATATTCAGAACGCTATGAAATTCGGGGGATTCCATTTTTAAAGTTAAGATTTTTCAGTAACCTAAATCCGCAATTTTTAAAAAAATAATAGTAAAGATCATGACAAATTTTGTTCTATATAGAAATCCATGACTTTCTAGGTGTGCTGATACCCTATATGTACCCTAATAAATACATATATGTACCCAAAGAATAGTATCAGGAGAGATATCCTATTCTTTGGCACGAGCAAATGGGAGTAACGTTGAACAAGTTCGTCATCTTTCAGACATTTTTTTAGTCCGAGAAAAGCAGACAAATTGTTACAGTGCACAGAACTAATAAAAGTAAACATGATCTTTGGGCAGGGGTGATTGTGAGCCCAAGCCAAAATTCCAGAAAATTTCTTGAGTTAAAAAAAAGTTTAAATTGAAAAATATTTAAACAAGTTTATTTTTCCTTTTTCTCAATATTTCTTAGTTTACTTAAATATATTTACAATTTTAAACATACCTATACATTTACACATACCTATGATGACCTGGAGAAGTAATTAAAATTTACAAATATGTCTTTTTTTTCTTGAGTTTACAATTATAACAACTATTTACTGATAAAAAATGAATATTAATCATGATTATAACCTTATAAAGTATCTATCTGGCTCTCCCTTACAATCAAATAAAATAAACTGCGTTTTTAAGTTCCACCTTTGAAAATTTGGTTTCCGGAAACTTCTGTGATCAATGATTTTTTTAAACGTCTGGACCTTCAATCTCCGGAAACTACCGGATCACTGCTAGCGAAAAATCCGGAAATCCGGATTTTTCCCGGAGCACAATCAGCCCTGTTTGGGAATATCAGAATTGAATAATGTGATATAATTTAATAGTCAACAAACTTCAGTTTATGTAAGTTAAAACCCCTTCTGAAATTATGAATTACTTGATTAATGAGCTACTCGGTTCGGTAAGTAAGATGCAGACACATAAAATTTTCATGATTCAATTCTTTTTTTTTTGTAATTTAAACATTAGATATTAATTAGATACAGTAAGCATAATATTAAATAATAATTAAACACATAAACACACACACATATATATCTATATATATATATATATACTGCAATATAAAGAAAAAAACTTCTTACTAGCAGCAACATTAGATATCTTATTAAATCTTCAATATACATATTAAATCAATCTAGTAGACATACTAAATCTTCAATTTAAAATTTCGAAAAAAAAAACATTTCAATCTACCATGACAAATTAATAATTAAAAAATATGCAAATATGATCCCCTTGTTAGCTCACTTAGCTCTTAAATTTTTAATTAGTTCAAGTATTAAAAAATATTTTTCATCAAACGTACAATTTCGCAGGTGTGAAAAATATAAACATAAGCATGTCAGAAGGCTTAACATCTCCAAACATACTATAAAATTACGCCACTGTTTGTGAATATGAGAATTGAATAACGTGATATAATTAAATAGTTAAGCAGCCTGGACAAGAAAAAGGTGGAAATCAATGTAATTCTTGCAATATATAATTTAATTATATATATTAAAAACAGCACATACCTGCCAAGATCAGAGAATTCGTTCAGTTCAACAAGGTGCATTAATTCCCCTTCATCTTCAGCTGGTTTGAGTTTTCGGGCTCGCTAAATCGAAATAATTTTCATTCCATTTACATTATCAGCGAAGGTATAAATCTTATGAGACGAAATTAGATTTAAATATAAGTAGACAAAAGATAAATAGATCGCAGGTGTAGCGGTAAATGATAAACAGCATTTTAACGGGTTATGGTTACGGTTCCGAGTGGTATAGGTCGTAGATTTCAGTATTTAGAGAAAAAAT